TGTGGACCAAACGAATCATTATCGAATAGAGAGCACAATTTCTTGAACTAAATATATAGTTGTTGGGATTTTGATCAACCACACTGCCTACTTTCGACGGCAAAACTGGTGATACGTAGTCCATACGAGGAATTTATATACGTAAATGTCGCTCTCGATCAATAGTAAGTGCAATAAGTTACTTATTTTGAAGTCACTCTTGTTTTACATTTAATAATTTAGTCTCCATTTGGATATAAATTTCTAAAAGCTTTATAAATTAAGTTTACTTTTAACCACTCGTTCATAATTATTACTCAATAAAAATAAATAATCTAAAACTTACTTATTTAATTAAAAGTAATTTTTATATATACTGAATGCTGATTAATCTGGAAGCTTAAAATTAATTAAAATGCTAAAAAAAATATTAATAAGCAATTAAAATATTTGACTATTTCAAAACGTGGATGAACAGTGAACAATGAATTTTGTTAAAGGTGGTTAGCCTACTCTTATTCAGTTGGTTTAAAACAATAGAAATGGTTTTCATTACATTTTTCCAATGTCAATTAATATCAAATTCATGCTGTTCCTTATTTTGTAAATAAATAACAGATCATTTTTCGAGTAATTAATGTTGTTTAGTCGCCCTTCTCCTCCACCCGGAAGGGATTTGTAGGTGTTAAGGTGGATATTGACTTCCCGTGTGTCTTGATATCTGGTTGCCTAAATGTGATTCAGTATCGACATATTCACGATAATTGGTAGTTGAAAATCTCAAATTGTGTTTTATTTTACAAGATCGAGTCGTCTACTTGAATATATTGACTCGACGACACATATCATCTTCCTTATCAAGCATGTAACAATGTTATAATTAGTTTACGGACAATTTTGAACATCATGACTCAAACTTTGGCCCAAGTGGTGGTCTTAGATGGATAATCCCGTCCCTTGTTGGCCCAAGTATAAACCCCACAAGGATCAGCTTGTAAATGATAAGATTTTAAGGTCCAAATACGGGAGCTAATGCCTCCTATGATCTGTCCCAACATTTTCGGCATTCTTTAATAATGCTTGGAAGTATTATTCAATAGCAAACACAGGACCAAATTTTAACTTCACAAAATTAATTATTAAAAGAAAAAAGTGGCATTGTATTTAAAATGAAATTGTTTCGTTTTGGGTTCTATCTTATTATAAGTTAAATTCTTATTTTGATATGCACATCACACCCAGAGCTAAAAGTCTCTACTACAGACATGTGGGAATTTAAAATTGGTTTAGTTCAAAGGGTCCTTTGATGAGACTTTTTGAAAAGTTAAAAATTGCTAGTGAGACTAAGAAATTATTCTTGAACCTGTTTGGATAATTATTTGAAAATGCTTTGTCAGACTAGTTTTTAGAGAAATCGGCTTAAGGAAGCTTTTTATTTATTTTAACTTATCTACTTTTAAGTAAATCTTTCGAGGTTAATTGATAGCAAAAATACACACTCCCTTCACTGGGACCGGTCCCATTAATTAAGCATGATTTACAATTAATAATTCAATTAAAATTAAGTGGTAAATAAAAATTACAGAGACAGGTAGCTTAGGGACTGTTCTCTTCGTGTTTCAATTTTTCGTTTTGAGCTTTGAATTCATTTTGAGTTCTGTGTTTTGAGTGTCCATTTTGAGATGGTTGAAAATGTGTTCTTTTTATCATTTTGAAAAATTATTTTCAAAAATGAAAACACCCAAAACTTGTTCCCTCTCTTCTTCCCTCCCTTCCCATCTCTTCCCCTCTATCTCTGTCGTCTATCCTCTCTGTTGTCTCGCGGTGGTGATGTGTGGTGGTTTTGGGGTCGGTGGCATGGTGGCTTTGGCTGGTACAAAATGGTTTTGGGTTGGTGGCGTGCGATGTTTTTGCGTCATTCGTGTTGGCGTTGTGGTTGTGGCATCCCCGACTTCTTTTGCTGTGGTGGTTTTGGACAGTGGGTCGACGCGTCGTCGGCTTCTTTTGTTGTCGTGGCTATAACGTCGCGACGGTGGTTTGGCGGTCGGGGATGTGGTGTAGGTGTTGTGTTCAGGCGGCGATGGCGGTGGTTGTTGGTGGCTTAATCGAAAACATCCAAAACGTGTTTTTGAAAATTTTGGCTTGGTTTTAATTGAAAACACCAAATACAACATTTTCGATTTTTTTTGTAAATTTTAAACTCGTTTTGGAATTTTTTTTTGAAAATAGGTATGTAAATGTGTTTTCACTGTTTTGGAAAATCGAAAACAGAAAACGGGATGAAAATGGCAAAGAAAACAACCCCTTGGTGGTTAACGACTGCATTTTTTTTTTCTTTTTAAATTGTTTGCTTTATAAGTTGTCGAAAAGGAGTTGTTGTTTCGTTGTCCCTGCGACCCATTTGTCTTTCCATTCCTTCTAGACCGGTGGTGGTGGCGGCGATGGTAGTTTGAGTTATATTGATGGGAAGGGGATGAGAATGGATTGTTATATATTTATATAATAAAT